CTCTCATCTTTCTGAAAATCAGCCTTAATAAATTTCATCTGAAGTATGGAAGCTCTCTCCCACGTCTGCAAGCGTAACGCAGTCGAGCTGTTTATAGCAGAATGATTAATGACATCTAAAAATGAAGAACAGAAAAAATCACATCTCTCCTTTTCAGACCCTCTAAGAGTGAAATTACATGACACTATTGGAAATCACATCACGTATAAAGTTAATTCATTTCTAGTCTTTCAAAACAATGATTGTGGACATGACCAAAAAAAACAAAAAAAACTATTTTAGCATATTTAGGTTATATAGTTATATAGTAATTTCAGAGGCTAAACTCAATTTGTTAGTTGTAAAACAGATAGGCTTGAAAAAATGTGAATTGTAAAGCTATTTGAGTGCCTTTGGTTGAACCAGCAGAACATATCTAATTCTAACACCAATACACCAATATATTTCTGTCAGGACCACTATCGTCAAAATGATAGATACTTAGCATAAAGTTTGGTTTGGCGGTATGGTTCTGTTCTGGGCAAAAACCTCCCTGCCCATCCATGCAGCCTGTCATGAATGAGCAGGGAGAGCAGCAATAATAACCCCCCAGGGTTAACAGAACAGAACAAGGCAGATATCATTAATGTACTTGATATTTAATGTAACACTTTATTCAAGATAAAGGAGTCTGATTAGCAAGGAATATCAGAAAGCCAAGTCCTGACTGTGGCGAAAGGTGGAGCTGGGGATGGAGGAGGGTAATTTGCTCCGAAGCAAGCTGAAAAGCTGCTGAATAATACTGAATACAGCTTATATAGGAATGCCGCGCTAGGTGTCGTATTCCTATAGGTAGATGTGATCAGCTGAGAATCAGCTGATGCAAGCTTGACTCACGTGACCTGCCAGAACTAACGCTAAAGCTTAATTAATCACACGGTTGATGGAGTCCCTAATGACTTCCATAGTATTTCTTTCCCTACTATGGAAGTCAGTGGGGACCGACAACTGTTTGCTTCTTCAAAATATCTTCTGTTGTGTTCAACATGAGAATGAAACTCATACATGTTTGGAACGACATGAGGGTGAGTTAAATGATGACTATTTTGATTTTTGGATGAACTATTCTTTCAAATGTGCACGTACTGTAGCTGATGCAGTTTACAACCAAATGAATCAAATTCGGATCGAATCAAGAGCTTGTGAATCCGAATCAAACTGATTCATGAAATCTGTGTCAATATCCAGTGTCAGTACTTTTAAATAGTGAATATTTCTATAAGGACAAGGTCTACTTGCAGTAGATTTTACCCAAATGTTTGTTGATTAATCTGTCTGGTCAGTGTATCGGTATTTCTAGTCATTTGGTAGGACTGTTGATGATGTTACACTCACTGACAAGTTCTTTTCTCTGAAGCTCATTCTTTTGGTTTAAAGAGCTGAAGCTCCCCCAATCCTTGTGTTTGGATAACAAATCCTGCTCTCTGTGGCCGTTCCAGAGTTTGTCAGTGCTAGATGATTCGAACCTCAGCAGTCCTGCTTCCGATTTTTCTGGGCTGGTGGTGGAGCCCAACCTGTCAGGCCGCTCTCATACATTAACCTTCTCCTCCAGCGAGGTGAGTGCAGATCAGACATGACGCTCTCACCACCGTTCCTTTGCATGCGTTTCCTTCCATAAACAGGCTCAAGTATTGTCTCGTGCCTCTTCGCTCGTGTCGTTCCTGTGATTTAGTGTGAAGCGTGCATGCGTGTGCTGATTGTTTGTTTTCATGCGGCTGATCACAGTAGTGTTTGTTTTGCATGACCGAGAGGATCAGATGCATGCTTCGTGTTGCGTGAGATAACATTCACTCCATCTTCTGAGCACAGAAATCATCCCACATTCATTCATATATTCTACAGTAAGCATTAAATCAAATGATGGCTGTCTCTAGGAGCATGCCATCACCTGGCTGATATGTGTGTGTATTAGATGCTGGATGAGGAGCCTTGCTCTGGAGGGAAGGAGTATCACTGGCAGAACCGTCCCGTCTCTGATTGGACGTCCCAGCAGGTGTGTCATTGGCTGATGGGTATGAACATGGATCAGTACACGCCTGAGTTCAGCACACAGGCCATCGATGGACAGCAGCTCCTCAACCTGGACAGTGACAGACTGAAGGTGAGCTGGATATATTTGGAAGTTTCGAATCTGACATAAACTGGCATTAGTGTAGCCAGTTCCGCATGTGTTAGAAATATAAATTTATGTTGGCTCATTTTAATACGCTACATTTTAAAAGTGCATTAAGACCACTGCAAGATGTCGCTTAATTGTATTTTGTCATCTGCTGACACACTCGTGTTTAAGGATGGTTTGCAATGCTCTCCACAGGCTCTGGGTGTTTCCAGTCAGAATGAGCGAGCCACCATCAAGAAGAAACTGAAGGAGATGAAGAAAGCACAAGAGAAGATGGAGAAACAGCGGGAAAAGCGTGAGAAAGAGGCCAGACGCAGCGGACGGCTGCCTGCCAGCACTGACTCGGTGTGCTGATGATGTTCAGAGCATCAGCTTTTCCTCTTTTATTCGTCCTCGTTCTTGACGCACTCCATTGGCAGACTGTTTACAACACATATGAGCCATTCTAGAGGAGTCGCTATGAGTGAATACGGTCAGTAAGTCATTAATAACAGTCAGACGGTCGAGCTGAAACACTGATGAAGATCATATTGTACTCTTTTCACTTCAATCTGTGCAGCACACATATGAGCAGAAATACACTGTTCATCTACAGGTAGTGAATTTACTAAGAAAAGTGTTTACAGATTGAACCCATCTGTGGACATGTTGCCTTCACTGTAAAAAGTTCAGTATTTTGTCTTTTTTTCAGTAAAATATCACAACATCGCTAAAACAAGATTAATGTATTTGCATAAGAAAAGACAGATTTTTAGAGAATATACAAAATTTTGTTAAATGTATATTTTTGTTGTTGTTGTTTTTGCTAAAAGCTTACATTTCCGGAAGAAATTGAATTGAATTTAAAATAATCCTCTGAAAGAAAATACGTCTGTATTAATGTATCCTAAGAACGTTTAGATAATTTAGCTGGAAAACGAGACAAAATGCTGATTAAGAAAATTATTTTTTCAGTGTTCTGAGTAAGTGAGATATTAGACTAGCTTGTGAGAAAATGAATATGGCGGTCCAATTCATAGCAGACCCGAACCTTTTATTAGTTTTAATTGTATTTTATGATACCACTGTAGGAGCTATAAAAAAAGAAAACTTGCTAAGGGATATATAAATATTCAAATGCCTATTTTCTCAACTTTGCCACTAATATTGTGGCACGAATAGTGCTTTCAAAAAAGATTTCGTATTGTATTTTAGGAGTACTTCTGGCCTGTGGTGCTAAACGGGTCATTTTGCTGGATCCTTGTACATTCGAGTAATATTGAGCACTATATTTTTACTGAAACAAAAGGGGAACGTGGTTTATAAATGTACAAATGAAATATTTTATACACTACTATTAGCATAGCTTTAAGGAAGAGACATTAACTTTTGTACACATTTTCTACTAAGTAGAATAGCTTGCTGGTTAAAACCATTTTGCTCATTCTGAAAAGCAGAGAGTTAAACTCAAAGTGAAAGGTGTTTGAACATCTCGTTTGTTGTTTTTATTTGGACGGTTACTGCTTTTATGTTATGGTTATGGCTCAAAAATACATAACTGTTACACAGTGTAGCATAGTTTTAGTAGTGGCCATGGCCCAAATTGTATTTGACTAACAGAGGCTGTAATGAATTTAAGTACTGGATAATCATCTGATTGTAAGGAGAGTGCTCATGTCATCGTGAATCTGTGTCCTGTGGTTATATTTTTCTACCTTGTAAAATAGATGATTTTGAACAGACAAAAATCAAGCTTTCTGTCTGGTACAAAGTGCATAAGCTGCAAAATAAATGCTTTCACCTCTTGTAAAAGGAAAGACTGTCGTGTGTGTGTGTGTGTGTGTGTGTGTGTGTGTGTGTGTGTGTGGAGTCCAAAATCCAGCTCCCTTCACACTAGAACCATGTTCAAAAAGGAACCATGGATAAAGCCTGTTCAGTCACTGCTAAATTACCTATTAAATCAAAATGAATCAATTACCTAGATTCAGATCAAACGCTTTCGAAGCACTGCTTCGTGAAGATTCGAATCCTTTGCTCAGTTCAAACCTGTGATTATGGAACTGCCAAAGACACGTGATTTCGTTAAACGAGCCGCCGTTACGTCATAAACTCTTTCAACATTTCAGTGATTCGCCGCTAGATGGCGATCTTTGTGAACACATTTGACCTGACCGCGGATCAGTTTTATACATTTGCAGATATTTTTCATTTTTAATGACATTTCTATAAAAGGAACATTAGTAGTTAATAGTCTCTAGTAGCTTAATAAAAGAACACATAGGCTACAGGAACTTAATATTTAATGGTATTTGATTTTGTAAATTGCATTTAGTAGATTACACTTTCAATAAAACATTTGCAATGGGTTTGCAAAAGTTGTTTTTACCCCCTTTGGGCTGTTTTCGTTGCATTTACACGTTCTGACCAGCAGGCGTAACCAGCGTGTGTCGATTGGAGGCCTTCAAAACAGTGACAATGTTGCCAGTTTAGCAATTTTGTTGCTAGATTTAGCAACGTTTCATAATGCCCTAGCAACTTTTTATTCCAAAAGCGCCTAGCAAAAAAAAAAAATTTTTTTTTTTATTTGGCAACTTTTGATAAGTGACTTAAAATAATAAAAGGAACACATTTTATTCATCTAAATTACACAAAAAGAGGAAACCAAAGATGACAAGCAGTACACGTATCACGTGAATTAAGTTAGCTGCTATTTGCAATTTAATAATAATAATAACTATAATTTAATAATTGTTCATTTATGATATACCTTGTTAGTAGCTTGTACCTGTGATTGTTGATCAGTTAGTACACTGTAAAAAAAAAAAAAATCTAGAAAAATGGAAAAGTTAGTAATTTTCCAGGACATTATCCATTATTATTATACAATGCGTAATTTAAATTGCAGGAAAAACACCTGTAAGACTCAATACGGAAAATTCCTTTGCATTAACATAGTAGATTGTGCCCTATTTTTACAGACTTAGATTGTAGCATGCTAACCAACTACCAATAACTACCAATTTAATAATATTACGCATTTATATTATTTTACGAACAAATATAAATTAACATATATAAAATATTTTTTGTTGAGATTGATTGCATGATTATATAATGACATCAGAACACCATTTAGCAACTTTTAGCAACAAATCTACCTTCCTTTAGCAACTTCCCCTGACAATTAGTGGGCAAATGTGATTGTTGATCAGTTAGTACACTGTAAAAAAAAAAAAAATCTAGAAAAATGGAAAAGTTAGTAATTTTCCAGGACATTATCCATTATTATTATACAATGCGTACTTTAAATTGCAGGAAAAACACCTGTAAGACTCAATACGGAAAATTCCTTTGCATTAACATAGTAGATTGTGCCCTATTTTTACAGACTTAGATTGTAGCATGCTAACCAACTACCAATAACTACCAATTTAATAATATTACGCATTTATATTATTTTACGAACAAATATAAATTAACATATATAAAATATTTTTTGTTGAGATTGATTGCATGATTACATAATGACATCAGAACACCATTTAGCAACAAATCTACCTTCCTTTAGCAACTTCCCCTGACAATTAGTGGGCAACACTGACAGTGAATCATATCTATCACTACTGTACACTAATGTCTGAATGTCACAATCGCGTCATGAAAAGCATTTCCTACAATGACTGTGTTTGAAAGTGTATAATACGTTTGTCATGAGGCTGCGGTCTCACTGCTATTGTACTCGGTGCTTTATTGAAACGGGATGAGATTCAAACTCCTGAACACTCGTTTAAATCTGGACAATTCATATGCGTTTGTTCCTCTTTTTTTGTCCTTTAAGTGCCTGCAATGTTAATTAGTTAGTTGAAGCTGAACATTTTCTAGTGGTGTTGAAGCATTTAACACTCTCAACACTACATTCTCACACTTTCTTAAAGGGGTCAAATGATGCCCATTTTCCACAAGTTGATATGATTCTTTAGGGTCTTAATGAAAAGTCTGTAACATAGTTTGGTTCAAATTTCTCAATGGTAGTGTAAAAACACCTTTTTTTACCCTGTCAAAAACAGCTCTTTTCAGATCAAGCTGTTTTTGTAGCATTTCCCTTTAAATGTTAATGAGCTCTGCTGACTCCGCCCCTCTCTTCCGAGCTGCTCTCAGAGAGACTGTTTACTTTAGCCGCATTCATCGTGAAACTTGCTAATTAGCACATTATTAGGAAAGGCGATTTGCAAAGATTCATTACAAAATATTATACTCGCTTCTTCTGTAGATGAGAATGGATCATGAATGATTCGCGCGACCATAGATGCATTTATGTAGATCGGGGCGCATTCCCTTCAGAAACAATGTAATCTACTGCGAGTTCAGCGGCTCAGACGTCGGGAGTAAATGAGGACTGCTATGTTCATTATTACATCCAACAACAGAACACCTTGATCGCTTAGGAGTCATTCTTGTCTACGTCTGCTCCGGCGGTGAAACAATGGCGGACTGATGACAGTCACTCAGGGGCGGAGCTAAGGTAAGACTCCAGGCCAGTCTGTGCTGAAACGCTACTGTCAATCACACGATCGTGGGAGGGGCCTGTCTGTGTGACGTCACACAGACAGGCGTCTGAGATCGGCTCGATTTGAGAAAGGGGAAATCATTTAACCAGATAAAAAAAAACACTGGGTGGATTTTTATCATTATAGGGTGGTTGTGTACACACACTGCCAACACACATTTCAGTTCAAACAGCTTGTTAAAGTGCACGTAGCATCCTATGACCCCTTTAAAAAAATTTAAAAAAGCTCTGCAAACAAGATGTAATACATGTACAAGGAGTACAGTTATGCTGGTATATATTATAGCCCACAACTGTGTGACACACAAGCTTGATTTCCAAATCACAATGTGTAAGCTTAAAGCAAAAATGATCAACACTTCAGTCTGTCTCATGATGACAGAAAAATAAATATACTGTATACTGACTTACACATTCAAATGAAAGAATAATAAATCATGAAACACATACATAAATAATACACACTCAAAATACGCCAGAAGGACAAAAGCCTAATTGTCTATCTGGGATGTGATGGCACTAGAAACACCTGTGCTAACTTACAATACTGGTAGCACATGCTACAGTGCAAAACGTTTTCATTAGAACATACTAGAAACATGTAGTGTTCCAGCATGCTCTTTCATGTATTCCCAGCCTCTTTCGTTACTCTTCTGTCCTGATCGACACGGGCGGACAGATGAAGCTAAGATGCTGTTTGGGGTCTGCAGAAGCAGGTGCGCTGGTGAAAGGTGCGAGAGGGAGTCTGGCGAGCGCATGCACAGCACAAGCGTTAGAAGCTGCGGAAGGTGGTCATGTCCTTGGGATCTTTGCTGAGGACACACCAGTCATCCGCTTCATGGATGGTGTTATAATGCTTCCAGGCGGATTTGTTGTAAACGGGAAGCCTCTCGATGGACTCGGTGGACAAAGCCTCCAGGGATTAAAATACATTATTATAAATGGAATCCAGAAATGAGAACAAAAATAAATCGAGCATTATTTCAGTCAATCATTTCTGATCAATTTCGATAATTATTTATATTATTATTATAATAGTTTTACTGCTGTCAAACGATTAATCGCGAATAATCGCATCCAAAATAAACGTTTTTGTTTACATAATATGTGTGTATACTGTGTTTATTTATTATGTATATATAAATACAAATACATGTTTATATATTAAATACATTTATATAAAATATAAGAATATGAATATATGTATAAACATGTAAATATTTTCAAAATATATACTGTAAGTGTGTGTATTTATATATATATATATATATATAATAAATATACACAGTACACATACATATATAATGTAAACAAAAACTTATTTTGAATGCGATTAATCACGATTAATCGTTTTACAGCACTAAATAGTTTAATAACTAGTAACTAATAAATATTTTTTTATTTATAATAACACTAATGTTTTTTATGTGAATATGTTAAAATGTAATTTATTCCTGTGATCAAAGCTGAATGTTCAGCATCATTACTGCAGTCTTCAGTGTCACATGATCTTCAGAAATCTGTCTAATATGCTGATTTGCTGCTCAGTAAACATTTCTTATCATTATCAATGTTAAAAACAGTTGTGCTGCGTCATATTATTCTGAAAAGCATTAAACTGTTTTGAGTCTGTTTTAGGACCATTAAAATAGTTTTTGCATTGAGACACACAATTCAAAGGTTGGCTTTACAGTAATATGGAAAAATATGATGAAAAACTACAATGACATTGAAATTATTTTGCATTGCTGTTAAAGTAATATAAAAAATGCAAAAAATCTCCCAAAAAAATCTCCTAAAATAGAATTACATTTTTATGCAAATAATTATAATAAAAATACATAGATTTGGAAGGATGAAAAGCAGAGGTTATTATATAGGGTTACAGTTACAGACAGAGGTACTCACTCTGATATAAATGACAGCATCTATGCCGAATCCCTCCATAGAGTACAGCTTCAGGTCACCTTGGAAATATCTGGCGTAAAGTCTGGAGATGGGCAGCCCATAACCAAAACCAGCCTGAGACCACAAGACAACACATGCCATCAGTACTTAGGCTTTCTGCAGGATTTTTAAGCTCAAATTTAAGACTTTTTAAGCCTGCACAGATAAAATTAATACAATAAGAGCGGGGTAGGGCAATGTCTATAGTACCATATTAAACTGTAAAATTACTTTAAAAAGCATAATCTACAGTTCGGATACAAGTTTTTACAAAAGTTTTATAAAATGATAAACTTCACATTTCAGCCTTCAAACCATTTTTAAGAAAATGGACGAGTCAAAAATAGGGCTGTCAATCGATACATTTTTTTTATCTAATTAATCACACCTTTTTTCTGTGATTAATCACGATTAATCGCACACTTCATGAAATTAAGCATAGACCATTTATCTGGTTTAAAATGTTTATTTTGTCATCATTTGCTATATCCAGCAAAGGAAACCAAAAGGCTGAAGGGTGATTCTTAAAAATCTGTATTTTCTGCAAGCTTTTTTTCAAGATAAATTTAGATGTCTTTCCAAAAAAGGACACTTAGAAACTCCAAAAGGACACCAAAGAACCAAATGATATAAGGAGCCCATATAAGCACATATGAAAGAAAAAAAATCTGAATTTTATAGTATGTGTACAGTGCAACAGCAAAGAGCTTCTTTACATTTTAGAGAAGCCAAGTTGCTATACCGAACATGGCCACATGGAGATGCCAAAAAAAAAAACTAAACCAACTGCCTGCTAACTGCATTTATCTACTACAGTACACAGATCCATTCAGTATAACTAAACATATATCTACTACAGTACACGGATCCATTCAGAATAACTAAACACAGCAACATAAACATGACAAATCAAAACATTATCGTGAATGTGTGTGGAAACTACATGAATGTAAGGAAATGTTTGTGCCTGTGCATAAATACAATGTGCGATCAGTGCGTAAAGCGCACTCATACACGCATTATTATAACGGACTCACGCGTGCTTACTGTACGCCCCCTGTATGCCACCGCAATCATCTTTACCTTGATTGCAGTCTTCATCCATCAAAACTTTACTAGAGAGACTGGTTATCCAGTCGCGTCTCATCTGGCCATACAGCGGTGGGATGTGTTTACAATCCGTTCAGTCTGTACTTCACACAAGCGTGTGACGTGTGAGGGCTCGCGCTCTTCAGAGACAATCACAGAATATGACAGAGCTCGTGTTTTAAAGCCAAACACACTGGAATGAATAATTCACTGAAAACGCAACGCGAGTCTGTGTTCTCTCTGCAATCTCTGATGTAATCAGCCTGGTTTCTTTTATATTAGCGCTGTTTTGGACGGATTGTTTGAATGCAATCACTTACTGGATCATTGGACTGAAAACTTTCCCGGAGTTTAGCAGCTTAAAATGTTCTGATCGCAAGCAGAGAAGCAAAAGTGGGTTAAAGGGTTAGAATATAAATTGTGCTTCAGTAATTTTGCGTTAAATTATTTTGGATTGTAAAATTAATCGCATGCGTTAACATTGACAGCACTAGTCAAAAGTATTAATTATATTAATTTAAACAATTATTATGAATAAATTATTATTATAATGACGCGCGGAACGAGTTGTTCTTCCTGGTGAATATAGTGTCATAAATGAGTGTCCCGTCATTATAAAACTCCCCTTTCACTCAGCATCTGTGAATGGAGCAACGCAACGTCCCACCAGTCCTTGTTTAAGACGATCATCCACAGACGACTGGTTTTGGGTGCAGAAAGGGGCACTTTTACTGCTTTATAAAGTAAGCAGCACAGCTACTACAACTCTTCAGTTTCTGAGCATTAAAAAATGAAACCGAAAGAAAGTGGGACCCTGAGATGCGGACTGTACTGAGAGCATGATCAGATTTCAGAGATGTCACACACTGACCAGAGGAGTGGCTCGAGACGTGTCCATCTGAGGACAAGGTGCAGTGGAGTATGTGTACGTAAACAACCTGTCAATCTTCCTCAGCGGGACTCCGCCTCCACGATCACTGACCTATCACAGAACAACACGGTTCACATTAAACCGGGCTTTACTCTTTTATGGCCTATTATTGATCAAAGAGTCTACCATTACATTAAGTGCAGAGTTACACCAGCTGTCAAAAGCTTGGGGTTGGCTGGAATGAAGGAGGAATGGCAGAGGATCCCCAAATCCAGGTGTGAAAAACTTGTTGCATCTTTCCCAAAAAGACTCATGGCTGTATTAGATCAAAAGGGTGCTTCTACTAAATACTGAGCAAAGGGTCTGAATACTTAGGACCATGTGATATTTCAGTTTTTCTTTTTTAATAAATCTGCAAAAATGTCAACAATTCTGTGTTTTTCTGTCAATATGGGGTGCTGTGTGTACATTAATGAGGAAAAAAAATTAACTTAAATGATTTTAGCAAATGGTTGCAATATAACAAAGAGTGAAAAATGTAAGGGGGTCTGAATACTTTCCGTACCCACTGTATATAAAATGGCATCCAAGATGTAGGTGACTTTATTTCTTCAGTAGACCACATGATTTTTTACTTTAACCTTTGCAGTCAGTCTTATAATGCATGGAAATAGTAACAAAATCTATGAGAGTAAAAAAAAAAATGTACACAAATAAAACCTAATTAAACCCTGCGGCTCGTGATGATACATTGAGGGCTTAAGACACGAAACGATCGGTCTGTGCAAGAAACTGAACTGAAGTATTTATATCATTTTTTTTACCTTTGATCCACCGCAATGTCCACAACTGTCCTGAGCGCGTTCACAACACCCGGCGCGTGACGCGTATACGTGCTCTGGCATAGTAGACGCATGAGCGGAAGCGATCTATCGCGCGTATATACATCACTCATTGGATGTTGTGAAACATTCTGACCTCAACACACTAACAGACCGTTACCATCGACTGGAGCAGATTCTTTGACAGTCAGAGAGGAGCACACACCTAATTACTGAGTCAGTCTACACACTTAAGGACTGGTGCGTCACGACTGGACAAATTCTGCCGAACCAAAAACAAACAAAATAAAAAAACAACTCACAAAAACTGCAGCGAGCTCCCACAGCTGCTCCCGCCCCACCAAAGACAACACTGCGGACAACACGGTGCTTTTAGCTATTGAAACGTTAAAGTTTGTTTTACTTTTCTTAATATAATAGAAAACATTAGCTTTCCTGCTATGTTGGCGTTCCTAATAAATGTCACAGCAATGTGTCTTGAATATGTTTTGCATTAAGTCCGATGCTTCTCTTTCTTTTTGGAATTATTGCTTGAGAAGACACATTTCATTATGTATTTTCAAATGCCTAGGCCTATGTTTAACTCCCTTAATTATAACATGTCTACACTCAATGTTGGGTCAAATATGGACTAACCCAACTGTTGGGTTAAATTTTGGTTACATTTTTAAATGGGCTTTTTAACCCAACAGTTGGGTTAGTCCATATTTGACCCAACATTGGGTTGAAACAACCCAGCATTTTTAGAGTGTACAGATCATTTTGAAAGAGACACAGAGAGAGTTCCAGAAGAAAATCCAGCAAAGATCTTGAGGAGCTGAGAGAGGCAGTGGAGTCTCATAAGGTGAGTTTAGAGAAGAACAGAGGTTCGAGACTCTGCTTGGATTCTGTTTATGATTGTGGGTCGCAGGCGCCAGCAAGAGCTGATTTAGATGTGTGTTTAACAGCGCTCTGCAGAGACAGCAGTAGAGGACAGTGAGAGGATCTTCATTGAGCTCATCCGCTCCATTGAGAGAAGCCGCTCTAAGGTGATGCAGATGATCAGAGAACAGGAAAAGGCTGCATTGGGTCGAGTTGAAGGACTCATCTATCGACTGGAGCAGAAGATTGATGAACTGAAGAGGAGAGATGCTGAGCTGGAACAGCTTTCTCACACAAATGATCACATCCTTTTTCTCAAGGTAACACATCTGAAATACAGAAATGTGGTTTTAACAAGACCTTGCAATTAGATGCTTTTTAAATTTCAGCCTAATTACTAGAAATATGTAAAATTACTAGAACAGAAGTGCTAGATTACACCCGAGGAGCCCAGGAGAACACCAAGAATATGATTAATACCAGAATGGCGCAACTATTGCAAATAAAGTGCCGATATAAACAAGCAAGAAAATAAGTGATTGTACAGGCCAGTGGTGGACGTTTGGACGTCATTAAGGTTTTTGTTTTGTATGTTTATTGTTTGTGTTTATTTCTTCCTGTAGAGTTTCCAGTCTCTCCTGAATCTACAGATACATCCAGCATCACTGTCAGCTCTCTCCTCTCTTTTGATGAAGTGAGAAAGTCCCTCTATCAACTGAAAGAAAAACTGCAGGGTTTCTGTAGAGAGGAGATAGGCAAGATATCTGGCAAAGGTAAAGTAGCAGACTTTCATTTACTCTTAGTCATCATGGAATATAAAAACGTGTAATGGGAACTATACTAATTATGCCTGTTTATTTTTTCTTAGTAACATATGTTGAAATTATTCCCACCAATGAACCCAAGATCAGGGAGGAGTTCCTGCAGTGTAAGACACAGTGGAAACACACACACACACACACACACTCACTCACACACACACACACACACACACGATGTGTTTCCATGTTTTATGGGCGTAATGGTTTTTATACTGTACAGACTGTATATTCTATTGCCCTACACCAACCCTACCCCTAAACCTACCCCTCACAGGAGACTTTGTGCATTTTTACTTTCTCAAAAAACTAATTCTGTATGATTTATAAGCTTGTTTCCTCATAGGGACCTCAAAAATGTCCCCACAAGGTCAAACTTTACTAGTATTACTATCCTTGTGGGGACATTTGGTCCCCATAACGTGATAAATACCAGGTACACACACACACACACACACACATTGGCTCTTCTATCGTTATTAGGACTTTCCACTGACTACATTTTTTTTTACACTGATCAGAGAGAATGCAAATAAGATGATATATTAGTTGCACTATTTCTGATATACATCAATTGTTACACTGCTGTAGGCCCCTGAGAGGCCTACACATAAAATTCATTTACATTTAATACATGATTTTGTGTTTGATCTCTTTTAGATTACAGTAAGTTCACTCTGGATCCAAACGCAGTGAATGAACACCTCCGTCTGTCCGTCTGGAATGGAGTGGTTAATGTCCCTAACGTAGTCCAGCAGTGTCCTGATCATCCAGACAGATTTGAGGATTATCCTCAGGTGTTGTGTAGAGAGAGTGTGTGTGTGTGTGTGTGTGTGTGTGGACGCTGCTGCTGGGAGCTCGAGTGGAGTGGTGATGATGGTGTGGATATGTCAGTAGTATCATATAAGAGCATCAGCAGGAAAGGAGGGAGAAACGAGTGTGTTTTTGGATGCAATGATCAGTCCTTTGCCTTACTTTACTCCTTCTGGCACAATAACAGCTCCACTGATCTTCCTGTACCATCCGGTCACTGCAGGAGAACAGGAGTGTATGTGGATCACAGTGCAGGAACTCTGTCCTTCTACAGCGTCTCTGACACAATGAGCCTCATCCAGAGTCCAGACCACATTCACTCAGACGCTCTATCCTGGGTTTGCAGTTCACGGTGGATCAACAGTGAAAGTGTGTGATCTAACGACGATATAGATTACAGAAAGATGATCAACGTGTCGTCACGAGCCGCAGGGTTTAATTTGGATTTGTCTGTGCATGTTTTTTTTTACTCTCATAGATTTTGTTACCATTGCCATGCATTATACGACTGACAGACTGCAACGGTTTGAGTTAAAAATCATCAAATGTGTTCCACTGAAGAAGCAAAGTCACCCACATCTTGGATGCCCTGCTGAGGGTAAGCAGACAAACATCACATTTTAATTTTTGGGTGAACTATCCCTTTAACGTTTGTGCTGTGTGTTACCAGTGTTTGTGTGTGTGATGTGTAGTATTAACAGAAACAAACACCATCTGATGCTCTGTGTCTGTACTTTTTTGCTATTCTTGAGGGTCACATTTCTGAAAACGCCCTCAGAAATCTACAGAAAATATTTGGACAGCTAAATCACACTTAAAATGTTTGAAACCACTGTAGTGTAGGCCTAGAACAAATGTAAATGTAGTGTCATTCATAAAAAAAAGAAAGAAGAACCACATTTTCTCAACTTTTCACGAAGAGAAGTTTTAAATGTTAGATTAAGTTAGATGTCAGATTTTAATATTCGTAATCCAGAAAGTTCACATTTAATAATAAGATTAAAAAAAATCACAAAAACAATGTGTTACGAGCAGGAAAAATGTAGTTTTGAGAAAAGATCCTGCCGTATTTGTTGCCCTTTGGACCAGATAGGAAGTTAGTAGAATATTCCAGGGTCACATATGAGGTTAGGTATTTTTTATTTCTTTTGACATTTGCAAAGGTCTTGATAGTTAGACAGTGTTAGTTTCCAGTTATTGATAAACTTACTTTTCCTATAAATGAAAACAGAAATATATGTTTATGTTTAATCATTTTTCTTGCAGTAACTTTAGTAACAGGGCTGAGTGGGTGAGCTTGATGAATGCAGTCAACACCGCAATTTGTGTCAACATTGAGTAAATGCAGTAGGAAGTAAACAGAGTCAGATTGCTGGTTTTTGTTCTTTGGGAAAAACAGAAAAACAGTTTGTTTGTTTCACTCTGTTTTGTTTGTGTCAGGCTGAGCTGAAGAAGGAGCCCGTCCCACTGCAGGATGATTCAGACCTGGAGAAAAAGCGCAGGGAGGCTGATGCTCTGCTACAGAGTATGGGCATCACACCAGACGCACCTGTGGGTAAGTCACCTGTGCACCCGAGCCACGTCCACTGTAGTGTCAGTCAGACTTCTAATATAAAATACCCCTGGAATATGAGATCCCTTTATGCATCAGCAAGACCACCCCTTGCAGTCTAAGTCAATAATATGCTATGTGGACCAGATTTCAAGCTGATATTTAACAGCACTAGTTCATTTGAGAGTGCTACCAACAAATGGAGAAACCTAGTCTAGTGTACTATATTGATTGAACACAAGGGGGCAGAAGTGCACCACAGTAGTTTTGATGGTGGGCAGCAACACTTTTAGCTAAGATGTAGTATTTGACACATTTTATATCTGAACGCTGTACATATAAATTACAGTATTGTTAAAACGGGCTAAAAATGGTGACAAACTTCGTCAAAATTTGCATGCTCAAAATCTCAACTTTAATGCGTGTGACCAAGACAAACTAACAATCATTTAACACACACACACACACACACACACACACA